TCTATCCAACATGCTTATGGTTGGTTCAGTGAAGGAGAGAAGTGTTTTTTTATGAAACTATGGACTTAAAAGTACCTAAAAAAATTTTCTCCAAAACAAGAGCTTCATCAAATACCTTGTACAACAGGGGTGTTAGCTTGGCAGCAAACTTCTTATAAAACTCGGCCAGAAGCCATCAGGGCCTGGTGCTTTTCCGGTTTTCAATTTTTTAATTGCATTTTCAATTTCAGAAGGAGTTATATTTTATTCTAATGCCAACTGATCTGAATCACAAAGGTATGGCAATTCTAAATAATTGAAAAAGCTCTCAATACGTCAATTTCGTTTACCTCAGAGCTGCAAAGGGTTTTATAAAAGTGTTTAAATTGATCATTAATTCCCTGTTAATCAGTAATAATACTGCCATCACCCTTACTAACTGCTGCTATAAAACCAGCTGCTGAGGATTGTTTCAGTTGGTAACACAATAACCTGGCAGCTCGTTCACCATGTTCATAATGAATCTAGCTTGATCTTATGTGGAGATTCTCTGCATTTTCACTTGTCAGGGAGTCGTATTGCGCTTGCAGAAGGAGTCTTTTCTAATGGAGCTCTTCGGAAGGTGATGTTGAGTGTAGCTGATCAATTGTATTATTTAATTCATTATCTCTGTAAGCCGTTCTGACATTCTTTTATTTGCGCTAGCTTGATATTAAATAATCTGTCCTTTTATAAATGCTTTCAGAGTATACCATAGGATGCTCAAACTTATCTCTGGGGATTCGTTTATCTCAAGGAAGAAATAAATTTAAGCATCAATAACTTTTACAAAATCGTCGTCTGCCAAGAGTCTTGAGTTAAACCGCCATGTATGTTGGAGGATTCCATTGCCTGAAAACATAGCTTTAGAGAGACTGGACAATGGTCCGAAATAACAATACTACCATACTCTACTGCTGACATTAATGCCCCATTCACACGGGGCTTCAGCGTCAACGCTTGACAGAGGGCGTGTCTGAAGTTGGGGCTGACGTGATCGTCATAGCAGCGTTAGCCAATGAATTTAGTCAGCAATAGGCCACAGTCTGAGCTGGTGTATTTGCATACAGCGATCTGTTGGCTGATGCTTCCATCGCCGCTTGAAAAGTTGATCAAGTCCCAACTTTTGCAGCGAACAATGCCACTGAAGCAACGTCGGCGAATCCACAATGCAGTTCGGCAACGCCTGACGTCACCCATTCAAAGTGAACGGGAAGCGTTGACGCTGATGCCCCTTGTGAATGGGGCGTAAGGGACGTAACTGCTTGTCCAGGAGAAAATGGTCAATCCTGGAATAGTTTTGATGCACAGGTGAATAAAATTCAGGAGGTTCGCCTCCTAAAATTAAATTGTGTGTGTCAAGACTAGGAAAAATTGAAAATAAATCAATGAAAATGTGTACATTGTCCCAATTAGGAGCATACACATAGGCCAGAACCACAGACATGTTAAAAGTTTGGATTATTATGTTTCTGCCATTTTTATCCAGCACATTTGACTCAATGACAAACTGTACATTCTTATGTATGAGTACAGCAACGACCAAACTTTTGCTATTGAAGTTTGAATAATATATTTGTGTATAGCCTCCTCTATTAAGTTTAGAATAGTCATTTTTTAACAGATGTGTCTCCTGCAAATATACAATATCAGATTTGAACTGTTTTTAACTGATTTTAATTGTTTTGTTTTATTTGGTGATTTAGCCTCCGCACATTCCAACTGGTAAAGTTTGTCTTTGCTCCACCCATTTTATGGGCTGTTGAAAACATTTATCAGAAGCATCCGAAGCACCCGAAAGGTATCTGTGGGTTTTGTATGTAGGGGTATATATAAATGTTGCTATAATAAAGGCCAATGAAGAAAAAATAGCCATGAATATCAAATCACTTTTATTGTCACATCATCAGCAGCACGTGTGATATGTATAATGAATATGTGTACCCATAGTTGTAAGCAGTATTGTTTTAGGTATGTATTGGTTAAAGTGCAGTGCATGCTACATATACATGGTGTGCAGTGAGGGGTATTAAGTGTTCATCAGCCTGATAGTCTAAGGGAAGAAGCTTTGCTTTAGTTGGCTGGTGCGCGACCGGATGCTGCAGAACCATTTGCCTAAGGGTAGCAGAGAGAAAAGTCTATGGCTTGGGTGGCTGGAGTCGCTTATAGTTCACTTGGCTTTTCTCATGCACCGCCTGGTGATGTCGTGATGGGAGGGAAGCTCACCTCCTACTATGCGTCCAGCAGTTCACACAATCCTATGTAGGCCTTTGCGATTGCTGCTGGTGCTATTTACATACCAGGTGGTGATACAGCCACACAGGATGCTCTCCACAGTGCAGGTGTAGAACGAGCGGAGGATGTGAGGGCTTATTCCAAACCTCCTGAGACGCCTGAGGAAGAAGAGGCGTTGTTGTGCCTTCCTTAGCACTGCGTCTGTGTGAGCAGTCCATGTCAAATCCTCAGCAATGTGTAGCCAAGAAACAGATCAGAGTGTAAACCTCCTCTCTGTAGGCCATCTCATCATTATCTGTGATTAGGCCCACCACTGTCATCAGCAAATTTAACGATGACGTTGGAGCTGTGTTTGGCTGTACAGTCGCGTGTGTACAGGGAGTACAGGAGTTGACTGAGAACACAGCTCTGTGGATCATCAGTGTGGATCAGGTCATGTTGTTCATTCTGACCACCTGGCGTCTGCTTGATAGGAAGTCCAGGATCTAGATGCACATAGAGCTGTGTAGACCCAGAGCTTGGAGCTTCACCACTAGTTTGGCAGGCACTATAGTGTTGAATACTGAGCTGTAGTCCACAAACAGCATTCTCACATATGTGTTTTTGTTTTCCAGGTGAGACAGAGCAGTGTGCAAGGTGAAAGCAATTGCAACATCAGTGGAGCGATTATTCCTGTAAGCAAATTGCAGAGGGTCTGTGTGAGCAGGCAGTACAGAGCAGATGTGCTTTTTAAACAGCTTCTCAAAGCACTTGCTGAAGATGGGTGTCAGAGCAACTGGACGCCAGTCATTTAAGCATGTAATTTTAGATTAAGTCGGTTATGGGCACAATAGTAGCTGTCTTAAAGCATGTGGGAACCACAGACCGAGAGAGCGAGAGGTTAACGATGTCCGTAAAAACCCCCGCTAGCTGGTGTGCGCATGCTTTAAGTACACGTCCAGGGATGCCATCTGGGCCGTAGCTTTCCGGATGTTCCGGAAAGATCTCGTTACATCTGCTACAGAAACAGAGTGTGCTGGCGGTTTTGGTATCGGCCGCGGGAGCGCACAGTGTGTAGGTGCTGTCCTGGGCTTTAAAGCAGGTGTAGAACAAGTTGAGCTCGTCCATGAGAGATGCAGAAATGTTTACAGTGGCGGGTTTGTTACTTTTAAAGTTTATGATGTAATTAAGTCCCTGCCACATACTCCTCCCCTCTACCTTGTACCTCTGTATTGATGTTTTGCTGCTTTGATAGTTCACCTGAGGTTGTAGTTTGCTTGTTTTTGTTCCTCAGCATTTCTGGATTTATAGGCGGAGGTTCACACTGATAGGGCTGTTCGAACTTTGCCATCAATCCATGGTTTTGGGTTGGGGTAGATACGAACAGTTTTTGTTGGGACCATGTCTTCTATACACTTTCTGATGAAGCATGTAACGGTGTCTTGAGTAAACTTTAATGTCGTCATCAGAAGCTGCCCGGAACATCTCCCAGTCCACATGATCAAAACATTCTTGAAGTATGGAACTCGATTGGTCCGTCCAGCTTTGAAACGTCTTGAGGGTGGGTGGTTCCCGTTTCAGTTTCTGTCTGTAAGCAGGCAAGAGCAGAACAAAAGAGTCATCTGATTTGCTTAGCGGTGGGCGGGGGAGGGATTTGTTGGCTTCCCGGAACGGAGAATAGCAGTGGTCCAAAATTCGGTCACCATGCATGTTTGTGGTGATATGGTGATAGTATTTTGGAGTGATTTTCCTGAGATTGGCATTGTTAAAGTCCCCTGTAACAATAAATGCTGCCTCTGGGTGTGTGGTTTCCTGCTCGCTTATGCTCCCATTCAGTTCCCTAAGCGCCTGCTCTGTGTTATATATTATAACAGCTGTGACCTCTCTTGGTGGCCAGTGTGGTTGGCACCGAAGCATAAGGTATTCCAGATCAAGAGAAAAAAATGATCTAACTGGATGTATCTAACTGGACCCCCTTGTTCGAGTTGCAACATAAAAGAGCTTAGACAACAAAAAAATTATATATGCAACTTATTTAATATACACAACTAATAAAACAACAAATCAAGAAACAAACAAATGTCTAGGGGAAAATGAAGAAAATAACTAACTTTAACTACACATATAAATAATGCCAAACAAAACCATAAGGTTGCCAAAATAAAGAGATGGTCTTGATGCAAGGACGGCCAGTAGCCACACTATCCTACAGAAGCTAGCTCACTCTCGCATTTATATGCTTTGAACCAATTGGGGAGCTACCATGGCACCTTAACAGGATCTGCCACATCCAAACTGGAATACCAGGGTCGTCACACCATTTACACCTTTCAAATCTGTGTCTTATCAATGTGACCAAAATTACTTTTATGATCAATTATGTAAGAAACTCTGAAAACTAGACTGACAGCGTTTCAATTTACAATGACTTCTATGTTAGGCGACTATGACACAATTTACATTGTAAAAGCTGTAGATAAATAAAGATGAATCGAATCTGCTTAAATGTGTACATGTTAATGACTGAACAAAATATGATCCGATTTTATTTTACATTTAACATGCATCAAAATAAGTGTGTGTAGCCAATGTTTCCAGTGTCTTTTTACTTTTCAGCTTTTGATGAGAGATTTTTAGACTTGATGAAAACTAATCTTTTATTTATTTATTTCAGACCTAATTGAAGAGAATGAGAGGAAAGAGGAGGAACATTATGTCAAAATTGAGGAAAAAACTCGTTTACAGACTGATGGTATTTTGAAAAGGAGAGACAAGAATTGTTTCACCTGCACTCAGTGTGGAAAGATTTTGGCAAGCAAAAGCAAACTTAAGATTCACATGATAATCCATACTGGAGAGAAACCATTCACGTGCACTCAGTGTGGGAAGAGTTTCCGCCAAGCATCATCACTTAATAAACACATGAGGATCCACACTGGAGAGAAACCATTCACATGCACTCAGTGTGGAATAAGTTTTAACTGCTCATCATACCTTAAACAACACATGAGGATCCACACTGGAGAGAAACCATTCACTTGCACTCAGTGTGGGAGGAGTTTCAACCGCTCATCACACCTTAATCACCACATGAGGATCCACACTGGAGAGAAACCATTTACTTGCACTCAGTGTGGGAAGAGTTTTAACCGCTCATCAAACCTTGATCAACACATAAGGATCCACACTGGAGAGAAACCAATAACGTGCACTCTATGTGGGAAGAGTTTTCGCCAATCATCATCCCTTTCTAAACACATGAGGACCCACACTGGAGAGAAACCATTTACTTGCACTCAGTGTGGGAAGAGTTTTCGCCAATCATCATCCCTTTATAGACACATGAGGATCCACACTGGAGAGAAACCATTCACATGCACTCAGTGTGGGAAGAGTTTCAGCCAATCATCAAACTTTAATCTACACATGAGGATCCACACTGGAGAGAAACCAATAACGTGCACTCAGTGTGGGAAGAGTTTTCACCAATCATCATCCCTTTATAAACACATGAGGATCCACACTGGAGAGAAACCATTCACATGCACTCAGTGTGGGAAGAGTTTCAGCCGATTATCACACCTTAATCGACACATGATGATCCACACTGGAGAGAAACCATTCACATGCAATCAGTGTGGGAAGAGTTTCAGCCGATTATCACACCTTATTCGACACATGATGATCCACACTGGAGAGAAACCATTCACATGCTCTCAGTGTAGAAAGAGTTTCAGCATCTTATCATCGCTTTACAGACACATGAGGATCCACACTGGAGAAAAACCATTCACATGCACTCAGTGTGGGAAAAGTTTTCGCCAATCATCAAATCTTAATCTACACATGATGATCCACACTGGAGAGAAACCATTCAAATGCACTCAGTGTGGGAAGAGTTTCAGCCAATCATCACACCTTAATCAACACATCATGATCCACACTGGAGAGAAACCATTCAAATGCACTCAGTGTGGGAAGAGTTTCATCCAATCATCATCCCTTAATCAACACATGATGATCCACACTGGAGAGAAACCATTCACATGCCCTAAGTGTGGGAAGAGTTTCAGGAAATCATCGTCCCTTAATGAACACATGATGATCCACACCGGAGAGAAACCATTAGGCTCGTTTGAGGTGCGCCTCGCCTTGACTGCATTGTAAACGAGAGCAGGCGTGCGCAGTAAGAGGGCTCAAAAATTACATCAGAAGTCGGATACCTGCCGAATCTCGCTGTTAAGCCACCTGGAAACGTCACCAGTGGCGGAGATCTCGTTCGCGTTTTTTATCGCAGACGAATGACCTCATGAAAAAATACTATGGTGATTTATAGTAAATATTATAGCATTTTTGAACATGTTTATTCAGTATTGTGTTGTGTTTATAGTTGTTGTGATACCAGAAATATAAAATTTAAATAGGCTATTTTATAACATGGTTCAAAAGCACTACAGTATACAGTACTATAGGATTTTTTAATGTGGGAGTGGATGCAATAGAAATATCACAGTTTTTACAAAAAGATGGTCAGAATTACAGAAGATGAACAGCTCATTAACTAAAAGGGTGTATTAAAAATATAATTCTGTATATTCAACAAACGTTAAAAGAATAACAAAATAAACAGCTTATACAGCAAGAAAACTTTCAAGAAACCTAATTTGGCTACATTATAAATGAAGTAGCCATAGCAAGATGCTATTGAGTGACAAGTCATGACAAATGTTTGTTTGACAAATAAATTCTTATAGGGGGTTAATTATATTGACAAGCTTATTAGGTCTATATAAACTGCTTTTACTCCAGCCAGACTAAAATAAACAGCCCAAGACTTTCTCCAGAATAAAAACTATTAGACTGTAGGAAAAACTATCAAAATATTCTTGGTCTAATAAACATGACTTTTGACTTCACATACATATATATATACAAATATGTGTGTGTGTCTTGTTTACTACACCCTTTTCACTTCTCATATGAAACCACACAAAGATAAGGCATAATGACAAAACAGTCTGATTATCTTTGTATTTCTGAATATATGTATATATTGGATTGACTTTAATGGAATAATGCTGCATAAAAAATACAATACAAAATTCACACAAACATACAAAAAGTGAAAATGACAACAAACAGGACTTAAAACTGAGAGAGAAATACACACACAAATCCTAATGATTTATTAGTAACATTTAGTTATATTACATAGTTCACGTTATGTTTTACAAAGATGTGTTTTGTTTTTGTTTGTGTGTAAATCTAAATAAATAACCATATGTTATGCTCTTTATGACTTTTTTTTAAATTATCAACGAAAATACAAAAAAAAGGTATTCAACAAATCCAGGTATAAACCTTAGTAAAACAAGATAATAAAGTGTAATGTGTCAGTCTCATCCAATCAGCATTAAGCTGTGTCGTCAGCCAGTCGTTTCCCATCATGCTTTTGGTAACGCAGTCTTTTGAGAGCAACTGCGGCCGACTGCTCTATCCGAGGTACCTGCCTCGCGATCGCGAGAGTTTTTTGGCGCACGTCAGCGTGACATCAGAGCGAGGCGAAGGCAAGGCGGACACATTTCTAACCGGCATGCATCTTGCGGTGATCACCGGTGATCGATTCTGCGCAGATTTTGGCCAAGTCAAACGAGCCTATTCACATGCCCTAAGTGTGAGATGAGTTTCAGCCAATCATCATCCCTTAATAAACACATGAGGATCCACACTGGAGAGAAACCATTCACATGCACTCAGTGTGGGAAGAGTTTCAACCAAACATCATCCCTTAAAGATCACATGAGGATCCACACTGGAGAGAAACCATTTACATGCCCTAAGTGTGGGAAGAGTTTCAACCAATCATCACACCTTAATCACCACATGAGGATCCACACTGGAGAGAAACCATTTACTTAAACTCAGTGTGGAAAGAGTTTCAGCCGACCATCATCCCTTAATAAACACATGAAGATCCACACTGGTGTGAGAGCGTATATGTGCTTGAAGTGTAAGAAGACTTTTATTACAGCTGAAGATTTGAAACGGCACCAGAGAATTCACACTGGGTAAAAAAACCTACAAGTGTTCACAGTGCAGTAAGAGGTTTACTCACTCACAAACCCTGAAAACACATGAGAGGATTCACACTGGAGGTAAACCATAGACATGATCAGTGTGTACAGAGTTTCACAAATTTGGGGAAGCTTAAGACATGGGATGGTTTCCGGTATGGCATCAACAGGTGTTGCAGAATAGAAAGAGCGCTCCCATACACACTGGTATTAATCCTTTTTTTACATCATATATGATAACCTAAACCATGTTTAAATAACATGGAGGGGGACAAAAACAAAAAGGCTTGGACAAAACAACCATTGAAACCTAAAAAAAAAACTAGAAATCAACAGATGAAAAATCAGAGACAGACGGGATAGCTGATAGCCTGTAAGCTAGCATTCCAGCAATACATACAGACATCAAAGTATTCCAGATGGATATTAAATTTGATTTAACCGCCTTCCAAGATTCTCTCGCAAAAGATGTGAAAATGGAACTAAGTAACTTTAAATAAGAAGTCAATTAAAAACCGGATGGCCTGATCACGGACCTAAACGCAACAGCAGAAAAGGTCAACGAAGTGAGGAAGCGAGTTGGAGAATTGGAGAACGTTGCTTAGATAAAAGAAATTCTTGGTCAAACCATACAAATTAAGACATGAAGAAAACTATTAAGAGAAACTGTTATATCTAGAAGCACGCTCCCGTAGAAATAATATTCAGATTTTTTGAATCCCGGAAGGAAGCAAAGGGAATAATATCCAAGATCCAAGTGGAAATGTTTATCAAAACGAACTGTCACTTGACGAAATAGATCTTAAAATCCGACAATGTCAACAGAGGCATCAAGAGATCTGAAAGAAAAAGGACTAATAAACAGCAAAGAAGAAACTATTATAGGAATCGTTCGAGGTTACAGAAGTAACCCTTCGTTCCCCGAGGAGGGGAACGGAAGTGCCATAAAGTGGATGAAATCCACGAATGGGAGGATTCGGATCAGAAGCCGCTTGTCTGGAGAGTATTGAACGGGCCAATGAATGAAATTAATTGGCAGCGTAAGCTTGCGCAGGTGTGCGGCATCTGCAATTATCTCAGCATATAAGCACACCTGAAGCTAGCAAGCGCCATCCTTTTAAGCTGAAGAGACTTTCAAACAGCTAAGGGACAGTCATTATGGCGACGGAGTATGGCACTTCCGTTCCCCTCCTCGGGAAACGAAGGGTTACTTCTGTAACCTCGAACGTTCCCCTTCGGTTGGGGAACTTCAGTGCCATAAAGTGGATGAAATCCACGAATGGGAGAAGTATGGAAAGCGCCATAATGACTGCACCTTACCAACGCCCCCGATGAGGAGATGGTCAAGCAAGCGTGACGCACTCACATCATGGGAGGCACGGTCCTCCAACGTGTCCCTGGCCCTAATTTATCCTACTTCAACAGAAGTTTTACGGATTTAGATATATTTTTTAGGAAGTCGTGAGCATTTAGATAATTCTAGGAAATACGACAGTACGTTGGGAAGCGTGCAATCCCGATAGGGAGGACGCTGCGGAGGCCATCCGTTACCCAAGGGGGGGATAGATGGCAGAATTTACATATGGACTAGCCCTAAAAAGGGGGAGTACGCATAGCAAAGAGTGGTTAGCAGAGAGGGAAGACACTGGTCCGCCCAGGGGGGGAACTTAACCGTGGCGGAATAAGCATATGGGATCGCCTAGTGGGGATCACGCATAGCTGGCACCTATACCCAAAACGCGGGCTGACCAGCGGGCAGACCTACAACGTAGTGGGCCAGCAAGTGACTCCTCCGCTGAGTCAGTGCTGGGGGCCACGGAGGAATCTGCAGGGCTCACCTGACGGGGAACTTTACTGACAGATAAAAAGGCGCACGCACCTCCGTGTTAGGGAGAATGGCGCAGCAAGCGTGATTCAACACCCTACCGAGTTGTTTCCTCAATCACCAAAGGGTTACCTAATACCCTTGAGGAAACCGGCTCCACTCGCAGATTGTAAAACCTTGCAAATGTGTTGGGTGTCGCCCAGCCCGCAGCTCTACAGATGTCTGTTAGAGAGGCGCCACGTGCACGCGCCCAAGAGGATGCAATGCTCCGACACGGCTGATCTCGACTCGAATAAGCGAGTGAAATGGCATCCACAATCCAGTGGGATAATCTTTGTTTCGATACGGCACTTCCCTGCTGCCGACTGCCATAACAGACAAAGAGCTGCTCAGATGATCTAAAATTCTGAGTACGGTCCACATAAATGCGCAGAGCGCGAACTGGACAAAGTAAAGAAAGGGCTGGGTCTGCCTCCTCCGGGGGCAGCGCTTGCAGGTTCACTACCTGATCTCTAAAGGGGGTGGTAGGAACCTTGGGCACATAACCGGGGCGGGGTCTCAGGGTGACGTGAGAGTAATCCGGCCTGAATTCCAGGCACGAGTCACTGACCGAAAATGCCTCCAGGTCCCTGACCCTCTTGATGGAGGCCAACGCAACCAGCAGAGCTGTCTTCAGGGACAGAAATCTTAGAGATACTGATTCGAGTGGCTCAAAGGGATCGGATCGCAAACTCGTGAGAACGAGGGCGAGATCCCAAGAGGGCATGAGAGGGGGGCGAGATGGATTAATTCGCCTAGCACCCCTAAGGAACTGGATGACAAGGTTATGCTTTCCCACGGTGCCGCCAGCTACCGCGCTATGATAGCGGAGATGGCGGCCACTTACCTTGAGAGTGGAGGGCGACAGCCTGCTGTCCAACTTCTCTTGAAGGAAAGAGAGCACAACACTAATCTGGCAATTTCGGGGGTCTTCTCTGCGAGAGACGCACCATTCAGTGAATAGACTCCACTTCAGGGCGTAGGCGCGCCTTGTGGAGGGGGCTCTAGCCTGAGTGATGGTATTAACCACCGCAGTCGGTAGGTTACATAAGTCTTCCTCGCGTCTAGGGACCACACGTGGAGGTTCTAAAGATCGGGGCGAGGGTGCCAGATGGTGCCCTGTCCCTGAGAGAGTAGGTCCTCTCTCAAAGGGATCCTCCAGGGGAGGGCCGTCGCGAGGAGTGAGAGCTCTGATATCCAGGTCCGGTTGGGCCAAAGGGGCGCAACTAGCAGAACCTGTTCCTCGTCCTCCCTGACCTTGCACAGAAACTGCGCGAGCAAGCTCACTGGGGGAAACGCATACTTGCGCATGCCCCGAGGCCAGCTGTGGGCCAGTGCATCTGTGCCGAGAGAGCCCTGAGTCAGGGAATAAAACAACTGGCAGTGAGCGTTCTCGGGGGAAGTAAACAGATCGATCTGGGCCTCCCCGAATCGCGCCCATATCACCCAGACTCGGGGTGGAGTCTCCATTCTCCAGGGCGTAACAACTGTCGTGAGAGCGCATCGGCTGCACGATTGAGCGTGCCTGGAACGTGAATGGCGCGCAGCGATTTCAGCCGCGGGTGACTCCAGAGAAGCAGACGGCGGGCGAGCTGAGACATGCGGCGAGAGCGCATACCCCCCATGCGGTTGATATACGCCGCCGCCGCCATACTGTCCGTCCTGACCAGCACGTGTTGCCGCTCCAGCACCGGTAAAAAGCGGTGGAGAGCGAGGAACACTGCCAACAGATCTAGGCGATTGATATGCCAATGCAACTGGGCACCCTTCCACAGGCCCGCAGCCGCATGCCCGCGACACACGGCCCCCCAACCCGTATTGGAAGCATCTGTTGAAACAACAACATGGCTGGAAGCCTGTCCTAGAGGCACACCGGCCTGTAGGAACGAGGGGTCGTTCCTAGGGCTGAGGGCGCGGCGACACAGCGCAGTAACCGAGACCCGGTGTGTGCCCACGTGCCATGCGCGTCTGGGGACCCGATCGTGAAGCCAGTGCTGAAGTGGTCTCATATGGAGCAACCCGAGCGGCGTGACGGCGGATGCCATATGCCCCAGGAACCTCTGAAAGAACTTCAGTGGGACCACTAGTTTGCTGTCGAGCTCCCTCAGACAGTTCAGCAACAGGCGAGCGCGTTCCTCGGAGAGGTGCGCTACCATGGTGATCGAGTCCAGCTCCATCCCGAGAAAGAAATCCTCTGCACGGGGGCGAGTTTGCTCTTTTCTCGGTTGACCTGAAGCCCTAGTAGGCGGAGATGCCGAAGCACCTTGTCCCTGTGCATAATCAATTGCTCCCGCGAGTGGGCTAAAATCAGCCAGTCGTCGAAATAATTGAGTATGCGAATGCCCGCGAGCCGAAGGGGCGCTAGGGCACCCTCCGCGAGTTTGGTGAAGACCCGCGGAGACAGAGAGAGCCCGAAGGGGAGGACCTTGTACTGCCACGCTCGACCCTCGAACGCAAACCACAGAAATTGGCGGTGGCGTGGAAGAATGGAGACATGGAAATACGCGTCCTTCAGGTCTATAGCTCCAAACCAATCCTGAGGACGAACGCATTGGAGAATGCGCATCTGCGTGAGCATTCTGAACGGCAGCCTGTGCAGACAGCGGTTCAAAACGCGCAGATCTAGGATTGGCCGTGACCCACCGCTCTTTTTGGGTACGATGAAGTATAGGCTGTAAAACCCGCTCTCCATCTCGGCTGGAGGAACCGGCTCGATTGCACCCTTCGCCAGGAGGGCAGCAATCTCCTCTCGCAAGACAGGGGCGGACAGGGGGTTGACCCTGGAGAAATACACGCCCGTAAACTTGGGGGGCCGTTTCGCGAACTGAATCGCGTAACCGAGTCTGATTGTGCGTATGAGCCACCGCGAGGGGCTGGCCCGCGTTAACCAGGCAGGCAGAGCCCTCGCTAATGGAGTCATCGCTACAATCGCTGACGTACCAGCGGTGGGGCAGCGCGGAGTGGGTGTGCTGATCCGGGAAGCACGAGGGTCCCGCGGAAGAGCTGGAGGAGAGTGATTCGCTCTGGCTTCGCACCCTGACTCCGGAGAGGGGGCTGGAGGGCTGAGGGAAGGGACCGTCCCCCCAGCGCTCGTGAGCCACTGGCGAAGCACGTAGAGTCTGTGAGCCAGAAGGCAGCGCGTCCCGGACTGGCAGAACTCGTGCAGTCACATCCGGGGAAGGGAAAAAGTGCTCTTTTACTCATGTTTTGGTGGCACTGAAAAGTACCGTTGTTATCGGGGCCCCGCCCTCCAGCGGGGAAAGAGCAAGTTTCCTCTTCTCCGGATGGCCTGTCTCAGGGATGCTTCACGGTCCGTTTACCGGACTTAACGGCGCCCTGGGCAGGAGGGGCTGCCTGCTTTCGAGGTGTAGGCCGCGCCCGCTTGGCCAGAGGCGCAGGCGGGGGCAGGGCAGCACTCGTTGGCGGGCGCCCTCGGCGGTGGATGGCTCGGCGGGCGGAGCGGGCTTACGGCCACGCCGATAGATGACATTGCCCATCGCAGTTGACTGCCCCGCCATGTAGAGGTGCCGTGCGGAAAAAGATTGACCGCGATAGCGCGCTCCACTGACGGGATCACCTCATACCCCCTGGCAGCTCCGCCGTCAAGGGCGGTGAGGGCGGAGGTACACGCAGCACGGGCAGAGAAAGGTGCCCTCCAAGACTGCGTGAGCCTACTGTGCACTTCCGGGAAGAAGGGGACGAGAGGTTTCGAAGGCTTCGCCTTCTGGTCCTCTAGGTAGCACCCATCTAGTCGGTCCGGCCGCGGAGCTGGGGGATAAACCATCTCCAACCCCACGGCCGAAGCAGCCCGGGAAAGCACGGCTAACATGTCCGCTTCAGGATCCGATTTGACAGCGCTCACCTGCCCGGAGGGGGCGAGCGGGTCCGGATCTTCGTCAGACAGTGAAAGCCCACCCTCCGATGCCGCGGAGGACATCTGATCTTCGGTGTCAGCGAGTGTGAGAGCTACCATCTGGTTAGACGGATCACTCCCACTACCCGAAGCTTGGATGGAGCGCCGTGAGGAGCGAGAGGTCCGCGAGCCCGTGGGCGGCGGATTATCTCCCGC